ATGCAACTATACTGTAAATTAGAATTACAACAATGTATCTTATCTACAGTGGAGCTCTGTTATACACTCAGACACTCCTAGAAAAGAGGGACAGAGGGATTTGGTACCCAACATAGTGACTGTCCTTCTGAAACTGGGACAATTGGGAGGAATGGTATGAAAGTATTTGGAATAAAGTAGGAGCTGCATATGCATTGACATCCCAACACTCCCTGATGACATCCCTTTGGAAAATGGAGCCTCCTTGGGATGTTAGCCTAACAAGGATTGAGTATGCGTATGAGTCTGGTCATCTCTTTCAAAACTCTGTGTGAAAGTACTCCTATCCTGCATTTGAAAATATTTTAAATATATACATATCTGGAACTTTGCCAACCTACCTTAATAATGATAAAAAGAACAAAGCCGACTGATCATGTTTAAAAACATGTATATACAAAACAGTATAATATCAACTCTTTATTAGACTTTTGCATTATGAAAAAAATGTGTTTTGGATGAATTCATTCGTCCATAATGGTCAGTTCGGGCATTTCCACATGTGACATTTGGTTTGGATGAATTTCATTCATGCAATCATTTCAGAAAAAAAAGATTTGAACTAAGCAAAAGGAAGTGAACATCTGCCAGTGTACCGCAAAATAAATACATAGTGTAAATATGATTATATTAAATGTATACATAATATAGATACTATGTATACATTTTGCAGTACACTGATAGGCACATTATCACGCCATTTAGTCCCCAGATCAAGTGAGAAGTAGTAACCAATAAAGGAAAAAGGGGGAACAGTAAAACAATATTAAAAAATCTGTATTTACCAATATATATTTAATATATTTATTAAATATATAATATAAATATAGTTTGTTCTCATTTGATCTGTGAATAAAATCAACATAGTAACATTCCCTGGATGTTGGACAAAAGTAAAATCCCTGGGATGTACTTGAAAAACAGAGTCATCTGAATGTACCTTTCCTGGTTAAATACTTTATTATTGTTATTATTATTTAGTGGCTGTCCATTAACCATCTAATTTTCCATCATTTTTACCACCAAGCTCGGAGCTCTTAATCACAAAACAAAAAAAAACTGTTTGTGCGTTGTCCAGTATGTTTGTTTTGTGATTGGTGCATACAGTATTCCGGAATTACCAAATTCAGAAGAGCCATAGATCGTCTGAAATTTGTTGGAAATTAAATGTACAAATCTACTTTCTTGCTATGCACAGGGAACCTCTGGAGAATAGAGATCTTTAAAGTATATTATCGGAGATAGGTTTGGGAGCGAGTCTAAGTAAACAGGGAAAAAATATGGGAGGTCTGATTATGCGTGACTTACAGGAACATATATACAAGATTATACTCAGGCATTCCTGTAAAAACTCTACCAATCTCTGCTGGATACTTGCATCCACATATTATAGAACTGTCCTAAATGTCAAGCTTTTGGATGGGAAATAAAAGATTTAGCCAGCGATGACATCAACCAAGGACTCCAATTTCCCTTTTTATAGACCCATGGCCCATATTGTATATTTTTACTATTTCTATTATTTATATTTGTGTTGATATGTTTTGATTTGTTATTATTGATTTGTGTTACAATACGGAGCAGCAGCCCTGCATAATCGATATAAAAGCTGTCTCAGCAGCCAACACTTACAACAGATTGCAATTATGACCGATTTTAACTAAGGGAATTTAAAAACGAAATTTAGACTGATTTATAAAGCACCGAGTGCAAAATGTTTACTATAAATATTATATTTAGAGGCTATCTTAGTATCTGGAAATGTTTAACATTCTTTTAGAAATTCTCTTAATTGCATTGTAATGGATGTAATAATAGTGATTTGTGTCTGGCACTAGGTCAATAAGAAATTAAAGGAAATTCAATTGAAATTTTAAAAAATCAGAAGGGCAGAGAAATAAAAAAAAAATTTAAAAAATGAAAGCGACATACTAGCTAAAAATATACCATCAAGTCTATGCAACAGGAATAGCTAGGAGTCAGCCAATTCTAAAGACTACCTCTGTATCAGCAATCTCAGCTATTATAGGCATACCCCAGAGTGAAGTTTACCCTCTTTTTATATCTACAGAATGGAATTTATATAAGGAATAGAATTTAAATGTATATATAAATATATATACACATCTATTTCCCCGCTGTCGTGGCTGGGCAAATAATATCTTTATATTTGTCTTTCAAATAGTACGTTTTCTCTTTTTCAATCTATATCCATTTAAACAAAATAAAGCAGTTTAGACCAGATGGTTTTTGCAAACAAACCACATCTAGTTAACAGCTGATATTAAGATGTTCCCGCTTTTAATACAATAGCATATTAATTTTACAAATAAGAGTTACCAAATGATAGGCTACCCCGGTGCTTAACATATTTCCTGTGGCTTATTTGCGCAAATCACTAAGAACCTTTGTGTCCTATTTTTTTTTTTTTTTAAATGCCACTTTCTACTGTACAATAAAAAGAGCATCCCTTAATTTCAAATCGGATTCCCTTATAGGACAAAGTGAGGTACACATGAAACACAGGTATGAGAGGTTTTACAGAACTGGATACATCGGAAGCATGTTATCACAGACATTAACCATTTATGCAGGGAAAGCCTGCTAGATTTGTGAACACTGTTCAGTATACACCAAAAGGGGCTGACCACAAACCCCAATGGATAAGCACGGCTAGACTGCCACCTAAAGACTAAAGGCCAGCTGTGTCTGCATGTCAACTTGCAAGTTAGAAAAATAAGAGACTGTCATTTCAGTTCAAGCCATGAAAATTGACCGGCTGGAAATTTGAAAAGAGGGAACATATAGGGCTTACAACTGTTTGATTATTATTCGTGGAAGCCAGGGAAATGGTGAAGTCCAGCCCTGAAGCTGTCAAGTTAGAATCTTTCAGAAGGCTCAGTGCCCTAAAACATGTTTAGTTTAAAAAAAAAAAAAAAGATATATTTTTGTCTCTGTATAATGTGACCAATAAGACAACTCCAAACGACACTTGACTTGAATTTATTGCAACATATAAGAGTAATTCAAAATATAATAAAGAAAATTACATAGTTCAATGACTATACTGCACAAAACCAGACAGGTATTTACTTCACAGCTAAATATTAGTGAATTTATATTATATTTTACCCTGTGCCACAGAATGATAGGAGGATAAATGAGGATTTTCTTGTCAAGTCCTTTGCAATGCACCACAATCTTGGTTTTATACACATGGACCGAGGATCCCACCTGGATCTTTATTAGTATTGGAGAGACCAAGCAGGAGGGGATTATACATATTTTCTCAATGATAGAATTTTAAAGATTACATTTGAGACAATGTCAAATTGGGACCCTTGTTCTGTCAACCTAGGTTACTTCATTGATGTATGAGGGGTGTTACTGCATTGATGTATGAGGGGTGTTCCTGCCAAGAAACATGATGAATTGATAGCCACTTGGTAGCCAGCATAAACTGAGGATAAACTAAGGTAACTGTATTTTCTGTATTAAGTACATGCCGCAGGCCTGTATTAGAAACAGATTGGGGAACAGCACACTCACAAAAATATACCGTTTTACATTTTACAAGGCTTAGCAAACTGTATATTTTGTGTGCGTGCTGTTCCCTAATCTGTATTTTGTATATATGTTGGGTTTTACGGCAGCACCGCTATTTTACAAATTCATGTTTCAGGTGTGCCCCCAATTCCCCTCTTTTTTTTTTTTTTACAGCCCTATATTCAAGATGAAGAATGAATGCAACAAGTCCTTAAGTGAATTTTTTGCTATTTTTTTTAACCAGACCCTGATACAGTCCACATGTTGCCCAGTGGCCGACAAAGGTTGCCTCAACTTCTTTGTGATTCATACACTGCAGGAGAGGATTGCCACAACAGGCATTCATGTGTGGTGTAAAGGATACATTAGTTAAGGTACTTGATATGTATACTATGCAAGAAAAATTATTCATGTGTGGTATTGTATGTGGATATAAGTATGTGGGACCGTGAATGTATGTGATACGGAGAGTAAGGTAGCAGGGTGGACGCATGTGATGGGAAGTGCATAGAAATTGCATGGTATGTTATGGATGGTAATAGATGGGTGTGGGATATAGAATATATTAACAGATATGTGTGTGACAGGACTCTTGTGTCATCCAGACGTCATTCTTCACCGCAAATGGATTCTGCATCAATTTTCTTTCCAATTCCCTGTGCATACCTCCGCTCTGTAATGCTAAAAATCAATCCTGTACCCACACAGATGCACAGTATAATTTTAGTACTCTCAGTGACGGGGTACACCATTTTGGCAATGATATAGACATGGAATGTTCCACAAAATGACACCGCTAATATATTACATCTAATAGTTAATAATTTTGATGTTGAAATATCAAATTAGGTTAGCCATGACAATGTGGAGTGTAGAATCAATTGGTAAATATATGTGATTTGTAATGTAAAGTATTCCATATGTGTGGTGTATATGTTAGATCAGTGGATATATGTGCTAATGATTGTTTAATGATTCAGGTAGTGGATAAGTTTGGTCTAATGGGTAAGTTATGGGAGGTGTGAAGGGTGTGGATAGTCCCAACACTGAGATATGTAAAAAAAGAAAAAAAATGGGGGGGAGGAGGGGGTAGGAGAAGGGCAGTTCTGTCAAAAAAGGGGATGGATCTGCATGATTGTGTGATAGCCATTTTGACCAGTCCCACTCAGGACTTGCACATGTCTGAAGCACTCTGCCTATGGACTCAATGACCCCTGAGCACTCTAATTATACACCCACCTTGTGCTTGCTTAGTGTATTTCCTTTGTGTCACCAGAAATTAAACCAAGAATGTCCTCCCTAACCTTCTGCCTAATGTCCTTCTTACACCGTCTCCCTCCTCCAACACAAGTGCCCCCTTATCCCTCACCAGACTTGCCCTCTGTTTTACAGATCTTTAGTACCATCCATGTGGTCTCAATCTTTCTTTTACCAATGTTCGCATGTTGTCCATACACATTGTATAAGCCCCCTCCACAGCTATCAGCACCCCTCTTTCTCACTAATGACAATCTATCCTGAGGACTCGCTTGTCTGCCACTTCCCTCCGTTCTCCCCAGCTGGCATGCAGCCTGGCACATAGAAAGAGGTAGTAGAAGCACATTTCTGTGAAGGGTTTTGGTGCCATAGCACCACCTGCTGTCAGGATGATGCTCAGTTTTTAGAGAGATAAAAACAGCTATTTTCACAATGAAAGCCCCTATAAAAAATTTGCTCGGAAAGGCCCATTCAAAGCTTGCGACAGGCAGGCAGATACATAGAAATACAGATAGATAGAATTATGTTTTTTGTCTTTCTATTGAAAGACACATATATAGTGCTATGTCTATCATGACATCCAGGAACATGCACTTGATGCAAACAGCAAGAACATTCCATTGGTTTCTATAGTGATTGCTCTAAATGTAGCACTTTGTCTCCAAATAGTCTAATTTTGTCTTAATTAATAAATGTATTGGTTATTATACCTATGTATGTAATTCTTTAAACTGGGGGTGCCCAAAAGGTAGATTCCCAGATGTTGTAGAACTGCAACATCCATGATGCTTTGCATGCTTTTGGAATGTAGTTTTAAGCCATCTGAGGATCTACCAATTGGGCACACCTGCTTTAAGCTAACATTAACTATTGTTCCATTTAGATCACTTATTTCCAACAACACCATATTGATATATACCCAAAAGCTCTTCTTCCTGGTAAAACCGTTTAATATTTGTGATTTTCTACAACATTATAATCACTGAATACACAGTATGCTTACAGTGGTATAATCTCATTTTATACTATAGTCATAGCATATGGATCTGGGAAATACTGCATTTATCAAACAGCCTCTATTTACAAAATCAAGGCTGTACCTGATACAAACTGACATATACAAACAGCCCTTTTCCTTTTTTTTTTGCCTACCAAGGTATCATTATACAGAGGTAATGCTTAATGAAAAACATAAATGTGTTACCACTGAAACTGTGTACAGTGTAAAAGCCAAACAATTAGAAATAAATATTATTTTACAGGCAAGCAAATATAAATTAGAGGTGCTAACTGTTTGGATAACCTTCAGAGAGAGCTTGAGTGACCTTGGCTACGTCATCCAGTCTGCAGCTCATCAGCTGTTTTAATGTGAAACTGCAAACCCCCCAAGATCTGACAATTCCTGTGCTCCCGCAGAGCTAATCTGCAGGAATACTTCCTGAATAATTCATTACATGGACATCCAAATGGTTAAAATCTTTAAAACACCTTTATGTGGCTATAGAAATATAAATCCTGCTATAAATGAGGTTATCGGATGTTGTCTACACCAGCATATGACCTGGTGCCATTGCTCGTGTTACCAACATAACCATTCTAAATTAAATGTTTTCGGGATTATAATTTATTATAATTACGTTATGAGCTTTATATATTACTGTTACAGGATTGTATCCTGATTACTAACAAAAACATATATATATATATATATATATATATATATATATATATATATACACACATACATACAAATGTGTAATACCTTTAATTACCAAGAAAAGAAGTGTAATTTTGCCAGTGGTAATATAAAAATCTGATTACCCATTATAAATTAAATGTATAAAATATTCGAGAAAATGTAAAATGTAAAATTCTAAATATAGTCTTATATTAAATCAAGACAGTATATCAGATGTACAAGTTGTAGGTAAGATAATACAGCAAATACAACAGGACAGTTTCAGACTACAACAATGAATTTAAGAAAATGTTTTATATATACACACACATATATATATATTAACCACATATACTAACAGATTCCTGTTATTTAGATAACATAGCATGCCAATATGCATCTAGAGACCAATATTTATAAATATATCATTTTAGTATCTCTGTTCATTTTCTAACATGCACTTATATGCACACAAATGTCTTGTTCAATGCCCCTTCTTTTTAACATAAGGAAGTTTACGAACTGATAACATAACAGCATCGTATAAAAAAAAACAAAAAGAAAGAACGAAAATCCACGATCATTTTTAAACGACAAACGTACATACAAGCAAAGCTGCAAGACCAATCCTTGAAAACTGTCTCTCTGTCTACAGCGATTTTTCAGAATCTTCCCAGCAAAAAGCAAAAGCCAACATTTATTCCATGCAAGAAAAAAATGCGCAATCGGATAAGGACAGAGAGCAAGAAAGATCGTAAATGAAGTCAGGGAGATAAAAATTCATTACATTGCATGCTCTGTCAAACATATAAGAATGGTTCGGTTTTAAAGAGATGCAAAGTCTTATTTCAAATTCTATACACAGGGAAGCAACGGTAACAAAAGAGGTTTGTGGCCTGTCCGAAAAAATATTGACCCTTAGCCTCATTTTTTTTTCCCAAGTAAGAAAAAAGAGATTGGCGCATATCGCATATTATAGGAATGCTGGATTCACACAAACATTTGTCTTCACTCACTCTACGAATAGATTTTTTTTTTTTTTTTATGAAACAGCAGAAGTCTCTAAAGTGTCATGTGACTTTTTTCCCCCTGCTATGAGCCATGTGTTTGTGTATCATTTCACTGTGAAATAACTGCGGGTTTTAGCTGAACCTGTCTTTGCTTATAATGCATGACACAGCCAGTGAGAGAGCATGAGAACACTCTCCCTTGAAAGGCAAGGTTTTCGTAGTTGGCCTGTAACCATGGGAGCAGATGCCTTTTTCACTTACCCCTGCTTACCTCTTTGCAGCCATGAGCTGCTCCCTTTTGTTAAAAGGGGTACGCCTCGATTTTTCTCCATGAGGAACGCACTCGCATCTTCTTCAAAGGGCATAATGCTGCAGGTCATTGGTCTAGACTGTTTGAACGGTCCAAGCCTTGATGTAACCCTTGCTTCGTCTGAACCACACCACCAGCCGTGCGACTGCAGACTGTAGGGGGACATTTGAGATCTGTATTTGAAAAGGAGCCCGACCGATTTTGCCATTGTGCCTTTTCACTCATCGATCGAATGAATATCGAACCTTCTGTCGTTGCATGTGTGAAATAGATAGCTTAGCAAGCACTTTTGTACCCAAACCTGAGCGGTGGGCCAAATATTTTTTTCCCCCCTCTATTTTCTATTGTATCCTTTTTTTTCATTTTTAATGCATCCACTGCATGTTTTATTTAATGAGTGATGAAAACTTATGGCATTGTGACTGCTGACAATATGCATGCACACCTAACATTAATTAAAAATGTTTAGGAAGTTAGAAACCATTTAATACTACAGAATGTAAAAAGTTATCTTTTAACTCATATCCTATATGTCTATGCATTGGTTTTTATAAGGCATGTCACCGTGTAAAGCAGCAGTACATACATAATTATCCAAAGATGCATCTATCTCAGTATATATATATATATATATATATATATATATATATAAAATGCATTACATCATAGACTATGTCATAGATGACAGATAGACAGATAGATCTAAATGTAAAAATATACTTATTTTGAGAACAATATTTAAATAATATTTTAATATATACAAATGTTCTGCTTTTAGTTGGTTAAAACCACACTTTATCACTAATACCCACAGAAAACAAAAAAACTAAAAATAATAACTACCAGTTAATAGCCAGTATCATTTGCTTAAATTATATTATGTGTTTTCCATATTTATATTTAAATATTTGTATTAAAATACAATGTTTTTAATAAACATAGTGATTGCTGAATTGCTTTACATGCATGTGTGTGTGTGTTTGCATATGTGTGTCTGTGTTTTTCGTCAGAGGTCATTTTCTTGGAAACGTATAATCGTGCTTAAGGCAAATCTACTTTTTCTTTTTAATTGCTTCAGGCCAAGGGGCGGTAGATTTAAGAATGAAGGTTATTGTGAAAGATGAAACATAATTCACAATGAGAAGTCTTTTCATCCCTGTTTTAAGCAGAGCATGATTACTTATAGTTGAATCTAAGGGCAGTTTGAGTGCAGTTGGATTTTAATAATATGAGGACAGATTCAAAGCTGAAAGACACTACATGGTAAATAGCATTCTAGTTTGCTAAAATAATGCTTTTTAATGGATAACATATAACCTGATGATTGAAGAACTGTAATAGAAAACAGGCTGTTATAATACTAGGATGAAAATTACATAACTGGTTATCGCTCATTTCCCTTTAAATTATTTATACTTTGACAGTCACAGTAATAAATTTTATTTTCTTATATAAAGGCAAAATTTGTGACAGCCTTTTGGTTCCTAATTATTTTAACGTCTCAATAAATTTATAAATTAATATAAAGAGTAAACAAGTTTTACATAGCTTTTTTTTTTCTATAAATTATTTAGACATATATTTTTTTTCTTAAATGTTACTACTCTGTTTAATGACAAAGGATTACAATTTAATTCTGCATAATTTAGTAAAGAATAATATGTGCGGATGGTTCTAAATTTGGTACCCTATAATACAGAATCTTAAATCAGAGTCAAAATTAATTTATTGCATTGGCAGGTAATGAAACATCCTTTAAAAAAAAAAAAAAAAATAGTTGTTTGAATAAAAATACTATTTACTGCTTTTAAATATTAGTAATGAATACTTATAAATATATTACATTTTTTTATCATTCTGTAATAAAAATACAATGAAAAGGAAAATTTTATTTTCAGTATGTCCAAATCTTGCTATATTTGGGTTGTCCTATTATAGAATTAGCAATTTTCAATTTATACAATTATTTGATGAAGTGTTTTATATTTCAGTGGAACAACAACAAAAAAATCTCACATTACTGATTTGCAAAGAAACATACGTTTCTAGAATATCTTATTCATACATACATAAGATGGGCTTAAGAAAACAATTTACATGTAAATATATTTAGTTTTTTATATTGCACTAAAAGGACTGCATTTGATATAAGAAATATTATTTGATTTTATCTATGCGTATTGCAAAAATATAATATTATACGTATTTCTAAATGGCAAGGAAAAATAAAAGTCTAGATATGAGATATAATTTTTTTTTTTTTGTAAAAAAATGATGTTGACATAAAAAAAGTCATAATATAAATAAATGCCACAACAGAAGTAATTAAAAATGTAAGTTGTTTTTGAAAAAAAATTGAATACACAGTGGGAGTCATATATACAATGAAATATAGCATTACTAGATATTAAGCATTGCAAAAATATTGCTTTGCATATGTAGCACCCAGTTTATGCGCCTATGCAGTTAAAGAGCAGTATATATGAGTGTTTGTGTCTGTGTGTTTGCTGTTATATAAAAATAAAGTTTTATCAAGATCCAAAAAATTGGAAAAAAAGCTCTCCGCTGATTGAAGTAATTTCTGAAACATTCTGTCATGTACGGGTGTACATATCCCAAGGAAAATTATGGAAACCTGATCTCACAAAGCTGCTGTGTGGTGTGGGACTGTTTTTTTATTTTTTTTTAAACCCCCTTGGAACTTGTACATGATATAGGCAGTATATTTTAGAATCTATCAATCTATCTATCTGTCTATCTATCTATCTATCTATCTATCTATCTATCTATCTTTGGCATGTTTTTAATATTGCATTGCCACTTTAGAACACATATTCAAAAGGAATATTTTCAACTGTTATAATCACTGCAAAAGAAGCACATGATAACCTGAGACAAATGTAATAATTGTGTACTTGAGACAAATGAAATGCAGTCTTCTACTGCGACTAAGCCTTATTTAAATGTATCTGGGCAATGGAGAATTTCTTTTTGAGATTTTTTTGCTTACAATATTTTTTAAATTATTTAAGTTTAATCTGGTATATAGACATGTCATTAATACACCAGACTATGGTCTGTAATACAGCATTTACTGTTAAATTAAACTGTAAACATTTCATATATATGTAACAATTTCATTTCACACACAATATGCAATACAATGATGCCCTTTTGTAAAATTATTTAAAAGCCTAAATAAATGTTCATTTTGTTAATGTAAATCAACAATCACAAATTGTATACATTCACACTGTTAAAATAACTACGTCTGCATACTGTTTAACTGTCAACATAGTGTAACTATCTTTGCATATTGTTACACTGTCTGCAAACTGTTACAATGTATACATTACAGTGTCTGCGTATTGTTACACTGTCTGCAAACTGTTACAATGTATACAATGCAGTGTCTGCGTATTGTTACACTGTCTGGAGATTGTTACAATGTATACAATGCAGTGCCTGCCTTTTGTTACACTGTCTGCAGATTGTTACAATGTATACAATGCAGTGCCTGCCTTTTGTTACACTGTCTGCAGACTGTTACAATGTATACAATGCAGTGTCTGTGTATTGTTACAATATCTGCAGACTGTTACAATGTATACAATGCAGTGTATGCAAATTGTTACAATGTCTGCAGACTGTTACAATGTATACAATGCAGTGTCTGCGTATTGTTACAATATCTGCAAATTGTTACAATGTATACAATGCAGTGTCTGCGTATTGTTACACTGTCTGCAGACTGTTACAATGTATACAATGCAGTGTCTGCGTATTGTTACACTGTCTGCAGACTGTTACAATGTATACAATGCAGTGTCTGCGTATTGTTACAATGTCTGCAGACTGTTACAATGTATACAATGCAGTGTCTGCGTATTGTTACACTGTCTGCAGACTGTTACAATGTATACAATGCAGTGTCTGCGTATTGTTACACTGTCTGCAGACTGTTACAATGTATACAATGCAGTGTCTGCGTATTGTTACACTGTCTGCAGACTGTTACAATGTATACAATGCAGTGTCTGCGTATCGTTACAATGTCTGCAGCCTGTTACAATGTATACAATGCAGTGTCTGCGTATTGTTACAATGTCTGCAGACTGTTACAATGTATACAATGCAGCGTCTACTTATTGTTACAATGTCTGCAAATTGTTACAATGTACACAATGCAGTGGCTATATGGTGTTATAATGTCTGCAAATTGTTACAATTTATACAATGCAGTGTCTGCGTACTGTTACACTGGCTGCAAACTGTTACAGTGTATACAATGCAGTGGCTGCATATTGTTACAATGTCTGCAAACTGTTACAGTGTATACAATGCAGTGGCTGCGTATTGTTACAATGTCTGCAGACTGTTACAATTTATACAATGCAGTGTCTGCGTATTGTTACACTGTCTGCAGATTGTTACAATGTATACAATGCAGTGTCTACGTATTGTTACAATGTCTGCAGACTGTTACAATGTATACAATGCAGTGTCTGCGTATTGTTACACTGTCTGCAGACTGTTACAATGTATACAATGCAGTGTCTGCGTATTGTTACACTGTCTGCAGACTGTTACAATGTATACAATGCAGTGTCTGCGTATTGTTACACTGTCTGCAAACTGTTACAATGTATACAATGCAGCGTCTACATATTGTTACAATGTCTGCAAACTGTTACAGTGTATACAATGCAGTGTCTACATAGTGTTACAATGTCTGCAAACTGTTACAGTGTATACAATGCAGTGGCTATATGGTGTTATAATGTCTGCAAATTGTTACAATTTATACAATGCAGTGTCTGCGTACTGTTACACTGGCTGCAAACTGTTACAGTGTATACAATGCAGTGGCTGCATATTGTTATAATGTCTGCAGACTGTTACAATGTATACAATGCAGTGGCTACATAGTGTTATAATGTCTGCAAATTGTTACAATTTATACAATGCAGTGTCTGCGTATTGTTACACTGCCTGCAAATTGTTACAATGTCTACAATGCAGTAGCTACATATTGTTATAATGTCTCAAACTGTTACAGTGTATACAATGCAGTGTCTGCAAACTGTTACAATGTGTACAATGCAGTAGCTACATGTTGTTAAAATGTCTGCAAACTGTTACAATGTATACAATGTAGTGGCTACATATTGTTATAATGTCTGCAAACTGTTACAATGTATACAATGCAATAGCTACATATTGTTATAATGTCTGCAAACTGTTACAATTCCTGCATACTGTTACTTTGTCTACAAACTGTTACAATGTCTGTATACTGTTACAGTGTCTGTATGTTGTTCAAATAGCTACATACTGTTAGAATGTGCTATTTCTTGCATCATCCATACTTAGATACAAACATTACTAATCTGGCTAAAAAAATTATCAAAGAGTGAGAAACACAGTGTGGAAGGCAGCTCTGCAAATGAAAAACCATACACTTTGATTTCATAAGACAGGCTGGATCAGAGTCAATGCTGCCGCATGCTGTGTGAAAAAAATGCCACCCTGGTGTGAACAAAGGATTTAAAATAGAGTCAAAAAAGCATGCAAGCTCAGTGCCTAAGCCTTTCCTGTGTATTGTTCTGTCACAACCTGCAGGACATCAAGTGGACTTGAAAGACTATAGTGCTCTTAGAAAGAAGTACTGCCAGTGAAATGCGTGGGGATTTAGCTTAATCAAAATGAAAATACATTATGTCACACAACTATTTTCATAAGAATCTAATATGTGTGTGTGTGTGTGTGTCCGCGAGAGTGTGTTTATTGAGACTACTAAAACATTAGCCTACAGTATATAATTCTTACAAAATACTGAAGTCTGATATTCTGTTGGAAATATTGTATGGGTAATGCTCCCAATCATAATACAAAAACACACACGCGTGTAATAATGTGTAAAGGTTTGAGACCACTCTGAATAATAAAAGTAATTTACACTAAAATATAACAACAACAACAACATTAGTAATTAAGTAAAAAATCTAGAAACCGTTTGAGGATTATGTATAAATAGCAATTGTGGGGCACAGTTACAAATTCAGCTGGGACATTCCATTGGATTCTATGGACTGCACCACTTTGAATACTTTGCCCCATAATTATTCTTTAGACTTAATTAATTACAATTACCGTTATTTATATAGCATCAACATATTCAGCAATGCTGTACAACAGGTAAACAAGACAAACATTGAATTTTAATAAAACACATATGACATTTGGGAACAGTACGTGAAAAGGGCGCTGCCCAAACAAGCTTACAATCTAAATCCCTCTTATGTTAAAAAAAAGTTAATATTCAGGATGGCCACCTTGGAATACAAAGTGAAGTCAATTTGAATAAACTAAGAAAGCTTAAGGTCACTAGGATAGGTCAAAAGAGAATCTGAATAAATTGTTTGCTCAGTGTCTGGCAGAGCTATGTCTTATCAAAGTACACACTCAGACAGTCTTAGGTGAATGGTATCACAGGGCTTGTTTTATCTAAGAAAATATCCCTCTAGAAGAGTAACAAGTAACAGACATAGCAATGTGTATGTCTCATAGACTGAAATGAAAGCCATTGACTAAAAGTCTTAACAAGCAATAAATCCAAATGTGAAGTCTATACATGGCTGTATTTTGGAATCTTGAGCTGTCACTACACTGGATGTATGTTCCTTAAGGATATTATTCTTAAGTACTGTTTGTCAGATGCATTTTTTTTTATCTTTCCATTATTTACACACTTATTACATAATCAGTATTACCAATATTTTCAGATTCCATCTTTTTAAAGAAATAAGCAAAAATCTAAACCAGGCTTCCTCAAACTCCGGCCCTCCAGATGTTGCTGAACTACAACTCCCATGATTCTATGGATGGAATAGATAAGCTGAGAATCATGGGAGTTGTAGTTTAGCAACATCTGGAGGGCCGGAGTTTGGGGAAGCCTGATCTAAATGTGCTGTACTGCTTGATAGCCACTACAGGCAGCCTTAGTCCTTGCAAGGTAATTATTGCAGTTTCTCAAAAAATACAATTACTTACATTGCAGGACTAAGTGGGACTGGGACACTGCACCATGACCACTTCAATGAGCTGAAATGGTTTGGGTGACTATAGTGTCGCTGTAAAAGTTTTCCTTTTTTAATGGAAGCCATGCAAAACAATAACTTGAATTAACACACAATTAGTTCACTATTAACTGATCTCATTAAAATAAAAATTTTAACTACACTTGGATGTTATGTCTACAATTTTTTGTAGGAATTCCCTGAGCAAAGACCATGTCCAAGTTGTAGACAAAAATACTAATAAATTAATTTTCTGTAATAAATTATTATTTTTAAGGAAATATATATTTTTATCATATACAACTGACTTTCATTATCTTATTGTCAGCATAATTGTTCAGAAAACTTTGGTTTTTGGCATGCTCAAGTACAAAATATTCAAAAGCTAAGAAATACGTAATAATTTAGCCAGTTCAACTTGCTATTTTATTGTAGGGAAACTCCAATTAATGTTACAAAAATTTAGTGAGATAACCTGTAAGCTTTATTTCTGAAAAAAACATTTATTTTACTTGTAATGTATCATTAGGATAATTCTCCGAAGAACAAAAAAAATGCTTATATATAAGCACTGATAAAATAACATTTAAAGTTATGACACTATAACATTGATTTAAGAAAAGATAATGTAAATACTGTACGTATATTTATATAACTATTTTAAAAAGAAATATTATCTAATAAGATCCACTGAGCTTGTGATGTTAAAATGCTGCATTGTATAAAATCTAAATAAACAGCAAAAAAAAACAGCTAATCCATTTCATAAAAATAATAGTCTATCTAATGGTTGGACTTATATATTTGCTGATCTGCAGACTATGTTTCCCTGTGGATTTACTGTAGAATTATGCTAAACTTGTATCTTTCTATTT